CAAACTAGCATTGTAGAACCAAGATTAAAATAAAAATGACACGATTTGGAGGGGGGAAAAACAATGACCGGAAAACACAATCTTAGCAAAATTACTAGTCACCCGGCATGCTCTTGAGAATGTCGGAATCACCTGAAAACAAACCATTGGTTAGAAAACAGAAACTCACCAGGGTCAATAATGCTCATGCAACACACTTTGTGGAATTTTCCACATGCAGTTCCCAAATCATTGTTGGCTGGATTAAAAAATGGATTGATCAATTTTGGCAGAGACTTAAACAATTAAGTAATAAACTTCTTGACGGCAAGTAATGGTTCCACGCGCAGCTTTGGCAGAGACTTAAGAGCCCATAGCCATCAAACAAGAGTTGTAAAAAGAATCTTGGAATGGAAATCTTGAAGGGAAGATTTACGAAATCTTACTTCCACGATAGTGGTGAACACCCACTTTTAACAACATAGCATAATACTCAATCTCCGACTTCCAGAGGGGTGGGCAGTTGTTGGAAATGATAACCAACATCCCTGAGGTAAAAAAGAGAGAAAACAATCCCAATTCAGTCGATCAATTCTTTGCCAGTAGTTACATTTGGCATAACAAAATTCATTTCCATCACTATGGAATACATTTGATCCTACCACATGATTGGACTACATGTTTTCAGAGTCCAAATTGAAATACAGAAGCTGTTTTTCATCATTATTAAAGTTTTGAACTCAACTACAGAGCAAATTACAGAGAATATTACAGAAGCTCTTTTTCATCATTTGAGAGGAGTATTAAAGTTTTCAAAGAGTTAGAAAATTTGGAAATTACTAACATTAAAACAAAGATTACAACTTTGGTAGCTGAACGTTCTTCGGGAAACTAAATACTGAAGTTTAAAACATTTGGAGCATAGAAGTAAACAAAATTCAATTCTGGGAGCAACAATGTGATTATATGAAAATCTTAGGAGCATTAGTGTCATTTTAAAAATCTTGGAATATTTATGTGAAACCGTGCAAATTCTAGGAGTATTGGTGTAAATTTTTTCTAAAAGATATTTTAATTTAAAATCCAAAAAAAGCAAGTTTACGACTCGAACATTTTCGTTTTATAAATAACACCTTTACATTAATACTTTGATAGCTTACATTTACACAAAATATTAATACAATCACAAAACAACTAATCTAAACTATCAAAATGCTAGTACAAAGTTATTGTGTACAAATTGTACTCGTATATAATATATACCAAGTGGTATACACGATGCATGGTCTTTTCCAAATTAACAAAAAAGAAATGCCGTGCAAAAAAATACAAATATGAAGTATAAAAGTGTTCATATTAAAAATAGACCTTAATAAAAAAGAGTTCATATACAATCAAATTACTTGAAAAGAATTAAATGAAATTTTTCTAGAAAGAACTCAAAAACATTTAAATTTTATTATATGGACTGGGTAGAAACATTCATCCAATAATAAATACTACCTCCGTCCCACTATATTCGTCCACTTTTGACTTTTGGAATTGTTCATCTAAGCAGTTTGACTCATCAAATTCTCTCAATGTGTAAGCATAAATATAGTCATTCGTGATCTTGTTTGATTTGTCTTAACATATAGATTATTAATACTAAATTTTTATAATTTTTTAATATACAAATTACAAGATAAAATGGATTAAAGAAGTGCATTGGATGGTGTGTAAAAATTAAAGTGGACAAATACTCTGGAACAGAGGAAATACTCTGTATATTTCTTCTATTTTGTCAATAATGTTTCATGGTTATATTTATAATGTCTCTCTTTTTGTTTCTTTTTTTTTCTTTCTCTTCTTTTAGAACATTTTTAAAAAATTTCATCTTGAAGAATGTATGAAATTTTTTTTATACATTAAAAAATAAATGAAATAAGAAAAACTCCTGAAAAAAGATAATACAAAGCAAAATAAATGAAAAAAATAGAAAAATAAAGCAAATTTTTTCCCCTAGGGTTTTTTAATACTTTGTGCAGAGTATTAAAAATGAAAAGGATATTTCACTTTCTTTTTGAAAAGGTACTTATTTTATTTATTTTTTACAAAGAAAATCATATAAATAATTTGCACGAAAGCCTAAAACATAATTAATAGATCAAAATTATTTATATAAAAAAAAATTTATCTGTCCAATCGGTTCAAAGTATTTTGGTATGTTCCAATCCGAATGCAAATAGATTTAAGTCCGGTCATGACTCATTACTCCATGATTTTGTTTAGTTCGGTCTTCGCTCCAGTCTGGTTCAATCAAGTTCAACTCGGTCTTAGGCCATTCTCAAATTAGTTTCGTTAGTCATTTCGACCGGAGTCCGAACTAATCAATATTAATTATTTTTTGTGAGGAATTTTTGACATTTCATCCGGTTTCAAACATCTCATGTCCGAACTTAAAGAAGGGTTTTAGCAGAGATGTTAAGGCTAGTATTGTAGAAAATACATTTTCTACACGAGCACCAGAATAAAACTGGCCAAATAGAGCACATAAAGAATACTCAGGTACCTGTTTGGGGGGGTTTTGTAAGGACAAGTTTTTGGATGATGAAAATAGTTCATAAAAGTCATGTTTATGACACATAATGCTACTCATATGTAAATAAAGATAAATAATTAAAGGAAAGGCACAGTTCATCATTTCATCCCAGAAGCAAAATTCATCAACCAAACATCAAAACACTGCCAGAATCTGGATGGTGTGATGGTACATGTCAACCAACTAGCATTGAAGAACCACAATTAAAATTAAAATGACACAGTTTAGAGGGGAAAAACAGCAATCACCGGAAAGCACGATCTTAACAAAATTACTGGTCGCCCGGCATGCTCTTGAGAATGTCGGAATCGCCTGAAAACAAACCATGGTTAGAAACATACATTACATAAAAATGTTGAGTAATGTTATACT